TCTACACCTTGTTATCTCAGATTCTCCAGCATCTGCAGTTCCTACTATCTGTGAGGAAGTATAGTCTAGATAATTGTGTGAGTCAGTAAGTTTGTAGTGGATATCGGGGACAGTCCATTCCAAGAAATGGAAAATCATGATGTCAAGGAAGGGAAGGAAAGAGTCCAAGATCAACCAGGTGAAGGTGAGAGAAGGATGGAAATTAGAAGAAAAACTGATTAATTTTTCCAATTCAATAAGAGCAGGACATTGTACTGATGACATGATGTATTGGAAAACCATTTGTTGATGGGAGCCCCAGGAGGCCTGGAACAAGGAATATTCCACATACCTGACAAAGAGACAGGCTTAACTAGAATCCATAGCCAGACATTTGACTTGGAGAAAATGAGCCCATTTCCAGGTATGTCTAGTAAACCTTGTCTGGATACCTCCAATGTGTTTACATCCATCACAATCAATACGGTACACAGCTGTGATCCCGCCCTGTATTACAGAAGCATAATTTTCCTACTTCTGGATTCAATTCCCCTCATGATAAATTATAATATTCTATTAGGTTTCCTAATTCTGAGGCCACCCAGATTCTTCTGCATTTCAGAGCTTTGCAATCTCTCACTTCTTAGATAATGTGTTTCTTTTTAATTTTACCACACAGGCCCTTACATACTTGCTCAATAGCTGTTGTCAGAATACTGGTATAGTTAACCCTTTACTTGACATTTCCTCAAGTTCATTCTTCCAACAAACTGTTAACTTCATGATCTACTTGGCTTCCACCTCATTACCCATCCTCAATTCTCTAATCCAACAGTGTTTTCTGCACTCATGGAGGATATGTAAGAACTCCCTGATTGTCTCAACAGAAGACAAATACATTGGTGAAGTAGGATGGTAGCTTCTCACAACACTGGTACCTAGGCGGTGACACTTAGGCAGATTTTGATGTGAAAACAGTGAAGATCAATGAAAGAAAAACTGATTCAAGTGACAAATCTCCAGGATTCGAACTATCACAAACCCAGGAGAAAAAGACAACAGTCTGAATTCTCAGTCTTGACTTCTACTGCACTGCATACCTGGGACAGCCAAAGGTGCCTGCTTGATAAAATGAAGAACTTTTGGATCCTATGAAGAACTGTGCCTGTTTCATTCACCATGACTGTGGTGACAAATGAAGCAATCAATATTTGATACAGGAAGGAAGCTGATAGTCATTAAGGAGAATGAGAGGATGTCCCTAAGATAATGCTGGAGATGAGGAATTGAGGAATTTCCTGTAACTCTGTGGGTAGATTTTTTTAAAAATTCATTCATGGGAAGCAGGCATTGCTAGCTAGGTCAGCATTTACTGTCTATCCATTATTACATTGAAAGGTGGCGATGAGTTTCATTGTTGAATTGTTGCATTCCACATGATGTAGGTACCTCCACAGTACTATTAGAAACAGAGTACCAGGATTTTGTTGCAGCAACAATGAAGGACCAGCAATATAGTTCCAAGTTAAAAAGGTGAGTAGTTCGGAGGGAAAGTTACAGGTGGTTGAGTTCCCTTTTCTTCCAGGCAAATCCATCCCAGTCAATTACTCCACTGTCAGTCATCAGTAAAGTGTTAAAGGTGTCACCAATAGTGCTATCAAGCATGTTTGCTGAATAATAACTACTCACTGATGGTCTGTTTGAGTTCCACTACAGCCACTCAGCTCGTAACCTCGTCACTGCCTTGGTTCAAGCATGGACAAAAGAGATGAATTCTAGAGGTGAGTGAGTGATTGCCCTTAAGATTAAAGCCACATTTAACTGAGTGCAGCATCAAGGAGCCCAAGCAAAACTAGAGTCAATGGGAATTGGGGGAATTTCTTTACTGGTTCACTCCAACAAGAGGGATTCCAACCATCATCCTTTGACATTCAATGGCAGTACCCTTAGTGATTCTCGAACTGTCATCACCCTGGGTGTTACCAATGACCATAAACTGAACTGAACTGGCCAAATGAATACTGTGGCTACAAGTGCAGGTCGGTGGCTAGGAATTCTACAGCAGCTAACTCACCTCCTGATTCCCTAAAGCACCGTCTACGAGGCACGTCAAGAATGTGATGATACATATGTAAATTCATGAGCTGTGCCAGCTATTTTACAGGCCTGAATTGTTTCAAGCAGTAACATGAACTGATCTGACTGCAAGTATCTTTATTTCTACCCTTCCCGTTTTGAAATAATATTTCTACAAATCCTGAAGTTGTCTTGACAAAACTACTCAGGATCACAGCTTAGATGTGAATGTCATTTTATTTCTCCTGAAAAGAAAATCTAAGGCTAGTACCTGATAATTATTTGGGTTTAGGTTATTGACAGCGACTTCAGCCTGGAACCACTGCTTCCCATGCGATTCTGACATATTCCAAACTGAGTTACCAAGTGATCCATTGTTGACCCTGATGAAGATATTGAGTGAAATAGGTCTAAATCCATCTCTGTCGTAGATGAAGTAGCTGAATTGGATACAGTGAGCACAATATTCACTGAAAGGATGGAGCATGAGTTGAGCTTTCTGGCCTTGAATGTGCTTTGAAGAGTTCACCATCATATAGGAGCCTAAAGAAAGAAGAACATATTTCACAGACAGAAGAAATGAAAATGTAGCCAAGCTAGGTATTATTCTTCTTGGGGTAGCAACAATTAAAGAAAGCATTGGCACCTAAATAATTTTTATTTCGGGAGGCAAGAGTGGATCAGCACAGCTTTGTCAGAGGGAGGTCATGTTTAACAAAATCTGGTGGAATCTTTCGAGGAGGTGGTCAAGTGTGTAGATAAGAGTAGTGCAGTTTTTGTAGTTTATATGGTTTTCAGCAAGGCCTTTGACAAGGTCCCTAATGGGAGACTGATAAAGAAGGTAAAACCACATGGGATCTAGAGTGACCTGGCAAGTTGGATCCAAAATTAGCTAAGTGGCAGGAGACAGAGGGTGGTGGAAGGCTGTTTGTGTGACTGGAGGCTGGTGTCAGATGACATACCACAGGATCTGTGCTAGGTCTCTTGTTGTTTATGATTGTATGTAAGCAATGTAGTCAAAAATGTGGGCTGGGGGTTGGTGCATGGAATGGCACGAAGATTGGCCAGGTGGTGACAGTGAAGAAGAAGGTGTTAGGTTACAAGGGAATATAGATGGGTTGATCAGATAGGCTGATCAGTGGCAGATGGACTTTAACCTATAGGAGGGGTATTGTGAAACTAGAATGGGTTCAGAAAAGATTTACAAGGATGTTGCCAAGGTTGGAGGGTTTGAGCTATAGGGAGAGGCTGAACAGCCTGGGGTTATTTTCCCTAGAGTAGAGGCTGTGGGGTGACGGTATAGAGGTTTATAAAATCATGAGGTAAACAGGAATGGTCTTTTCCCCAGGGTGGGTGAGTCCAAAGCTCGAAAGCATAGGTTTAAGGTGAAAGGGGAAAGATATAAAAGGGACCTAATGGGCAACTTTTTCACATAGAGGGAGGTGTGTGTATGGAATTAGCTGCCAGAGGAAGTGATGGAGGCTGGTACGAATACAAAATTTAAAAGGCATCTGGATGAATATATGAATAGGAAGCATTTAAACCGAAATGGGCCAAATGCTGGCAAATAGGACTAGATTTATGTACGATATCTGGTTGGCATGAACAAGTTGGACCAAAGGGTCTATTTCTGTGCAGTACATCTGTATGACTCTACAACTCTAAGTGTGAGATGTTGCAATTTGGAAGAAGTAACGAGATAAGGGAATATTCAGTGAATGGCAAGACACGAGGAATCTCATAAAAACAGAGGGATTTTGGGGTGGGAATTGTATCAGAGATAGTAGGAACTGCAGATGCTGGAGAATCTGAGATAACAAGGTGTATTTCTGATGAAGGGTCTAGGCCCGAACCGTCAGCCTTCCTGCTCCTATGATGCTGCTTGGCCTGCTGTGTTCATCCAGCTCTACACCTTGTTATCTGGGATTTTGGGGTGCTTGTCCACAGATCCCTGGAGCTGACAGGATAGGTAAACAGGATAATCACAAAGGCATAGAGGACACTTGTCTTTATCAGTCAAGGCACAGATTAAAAGATCAGGGAGGTTGTGTGGGAGCTGTACAGGACTTATGGTTTGGTCACAGCTGGTGTACCGTGTGTGGCTCTGCTCAGAACATTATAAGAAAGGTGGAATTGCACTGGACAGGGTATAGAGGAGACTCATCACCTTGCTCGAGATGGAGCATCTTACCCACGAAGAGCGCCTGGATAAACTTGGATAAACTGGATAAACAGTTCTGAGGAAAGGTCACCGGACCCAAAACGTTAACTCTGTTTTCTCCTTCACAGATGCTGCCAGACCTGCTGAACTTTTCCAGCAACTTTGTTTTTGTTCTGGATAAACTTGGGTTGTTTTCTCTGGAGAAGAGATGGATGAAGGGGCATCAGATCACAGAATCCCTAGAGTGTGGAAGAAGGCCATTTGGCTCATCAAGTTCATACCAACCCTCCAAAGAGCATCCCACCAAGACACACCCCTTCGCTGTAACTATGCATTTCCCACGTGGTTAATTCACCTACCTGCACATTTTGGGCAATTTAGCATGACCAATCCACCTAACTTGCACATCTTTGGGCTGTGGGAAGAAACCAGCGCACCCGGTGGAAACACATGGAGATGTGGACGGAATGTGCAAACTCCATACAGTCAGCCAAGGCTGGAATCAAACCCAGGTCCCTAGCATTGTGAGTCAGCAGTGCTAACCACTGAGCTACCATGCCAACTAGAAGTATAAAACCTGGGTCCCTGATGCTGTGAAGCAGCAATGATAACCACTGAGTCACTGTGCCACCCCTGATAGAGGTGTATAAGATAATATTGAGCATGGACAGGGTGGATAGAAAGCAGCTGTTCTCCCTAGCTGAAGGGCCAACAGCTGGGGGTATGTTTTTTTAAGGTGAAAGGCAGCAGCTTTACAGGGACTTAAGGATAGGATTTTTTCTCACATAAGTAGTAGAAGTCTGAAATGCAGATCCTGGGACTCAGATGAGCACTTGAAGAATCATAACATTGAAGGCTATGGGCCTCGTGCTGCAAAGTGGGAATAGTGTAGATTTAATGTATTTTCACAGTACAGACTCAATGGACCAATGAGTCTCTTCTGTGCTGTATGATTTGATGATCTACAGCTAAGTTGAAGGCAGTCCTAAGAAGTGAAGCAGTTTTGTTGCTTCTGATTTTCCAAGACCTTTCAAAATGGCAATTGATACTTGTGACTTGGGGCAAAATGTCATCTTGTTACATGATGATGAGTCATGTTTAAAGAAGCCAGTGAGATAATCCTCCAAGAAAGTAGACTAGTATCAGAAGTAGCACTTTTATCATAGAAAAAGAAACTGGGATTGTCGTTGGCTCTTTGAAATTTGAAATCTTTACAAGGTTACAAGGAAATGCTAACTTATACTGATCTTCATTGAAAAGCTTAATATTCGAAATGAGACCATCCAGACGGAGGCTTTCATTGCAACCACTTAATTATTGATAGTGTTGGAAAAAAAAACACCATTGCCATGCATTGTCCCAAGTGTAACATCTTGGAATGAGTTTAAGGAATGCTAAGATGGTCTCAGGTTGTATAAGAGAGGAGGAATAATGAATGAATGTAAGTCTTGTGTTTTGTTGTTTTGTGTATCTCATTTTCTCTGATGAAACACCTTTGAAAAACAGTATTTTTCTGTTTATCCCTAATTTTTATCTGTGGATTTAAATGGAAAAATAACTGTTTTGAAAGCCAAGGATTGCTGGAGGATTGCAGTATGTTTTGAAAGCAAGTAACCTGACATAAGAACATAAGAAATAGAAGCAGGTGTCAGCCATTCAGCCATTGGTGCCTATCATGCTATTGCACAAGATCATGTCTGATCTATCTCGGGCGTCAACGCTAGTTTCATGCCAGATCAATATAATATGACATTCATTGTAAACGCTATTTACACAGCTGCTGCTTCCAGCTGTAGTTGAAGAGTAGTTTGAAGACTAAGTAAAGCTGGAGGGTTCTGTGCAAATGGATTTTTGATTGGCAACACTGTTTGGTCTATGTACTAATGACCAGTTATTGTTCAAAGCCTTCTGTCTGCCAATAACTATGTGATTGGTTCTCAGATAGCTAAGGCTGTGAACAAGTTAGCGAGAAGCCTTCAGGCCTCCATCAGATGGTCTCTGTTCTCTACAGTGAAAGCCAAATTAAGCCTGAAGAAAGCCAGTTTATTTTTCCTTCAGTAGCTGCTGTAAGCTGTGACTTTTAATTAAAAGTACGAATACATAAATTAATTAATAACGTTTTAATGGTATGAACCAACCCCTCCGCCTCTTATTAGCCAGTGAAAACATCTGGAGAAGCAGCGCTCTGATCAGCATCAGAACCATCTCTACAAATACTGTTCCCAGCTTTCACCTGTCTGTCACACCCATGTATTTTTTTCATGTCTCTGTGTAAGAGGGAGTTTGTAATGGGATTAGAATTTTAAATGTCCGGTTATATGCAAATGGTCCACAAATGTTTACCTACAGATATTTACCTTTACATAATAGTAATTCTTGTTAAATACAGAAACCTGGTGAACCTAGTTCTAAAACAGATAAATTGGGAAATTTTGCACACTTCTATGGAATCTTTAACTTTCATGACAACCCCAGGAATCGTGGGGCTTGATTTCCAGCCCACTCCCCCAGTGAGACGTGACATATGGGTTAGGGGCATTGCTAGCTAGGCAAGTATTTACTATTCATTTCTAATTGTCGTTGAGAAGATAGCGGTGAGCTAAACTTATAGTCTCCATTGTTCATAGTTACAGCTGTCTGATGCCAGCAAAATAAACTGGGTGAATACCATATAACAGAATTCAGCACCGTAGCAGAGATGTTCTTTGAAATATCAGTGCCCCATAAATTCACAGAGCATGGGTTTAACTAATTGAAGCTGATGATATTGAATGTACATTTAACAGACTCATTCTGGATTTTTCCTTCTACTGTTTAAATAGATAACTAGAAAAAAATTTACAGCAAGCAGTCCTACTGCTTGCGTAGTAACATCACCGATAGAAGAGATATGTACCTATAATTTCCAAACTACAATTTGTTTAAACATACACCTCCAATTTTCTGATTTGCTGCCTTGATAAAATGATAATTTAAGTTACTCACAAAGGGACAGCCTTGATCAAAATTCATTCCCAAGGTGATTTTATGGCTTTGGCAACCATATATTTCCATAATCCATGCCGTGGAAATAGACGGGAATAAAATAGAAGCAACTGACCTTGAAGGAGGTCTGAGGTCTGTCCAGATGGATTTTGGATTTCAACATGCTGCCAGTCAAAGTCATCATCAGTGCCTTGGAAATAGTCACATGCATTATCCTCACCAAAGGTGCACATTTCTGTGGATAATAAAAGAGACAGTTTAGTTTTCCCATGGAATTTTCCAAGGTCTACTCAACTCGGCAAACTGAGTCAGCAAGAAGCCAAAAGTAAAGGGAAGTGCAAGCTCTTCAAAGATACTCTGATAACTGTGCCCAGATGACCAACATCACC